GCAACATGTAAAAAGACAGTATAAGTCATTATAATCCGTAATTATGTCCCCGCTGGATGCAACAAATGCTTCGTTTATAATGGGTTTTAATGTTTTTGTCTCGTCGCTCCGGCCGGACTCTGCATCACAGTATGGTAGGGGCGTAACATTTCCGTCACACGCTTGAGGTATTCGGCCAATCTTAACGCACTGGATAGCTGGCCAATCAGAGCACACCTCGCTTTTCAGACCTATGAGCTTTGTAAAAATCGACGCGTTTCAGAAAGGCGGGGCATAGGAGAAAAAATAATGTACAGTATTTGGAAAATAATGTGTTTTTTGAACCTTAAAACGCATTTCATTACACCAAATACACAAAATAATGTTATTTTTAGCAACATCATATGACCTTTTTAAAGAAAACTTACGAGAATACTTGCAGTATAATATAGGGGGTGAAGATTGGTAGGTTTAGGGATCAGGGGGTGGAGACGGGTGGGTTTAGGTATATGTAAGGTGGAAGGAGTTGGATCTGGATCCAACCACGCCCTCTGGATCTTGTGTTCTGCAGTGAGGACCATCTCCAATTTAGACCCAAGGAGTATTGAAAAAGTACACTTACAAGTATACTACTAGTACATTGATATTTGTATACTTACTACATATAGTATACCTAAAAAATATACTTCAATTTTATTTTAAGTGTACTAAAGTAAAGTTCAAGTATACTTCTTTTTGGTAAGGGTGACTTGTCTTGACTTGTTACAAAATTAAAATTTAGATTCCTCTTATCGATTCCTTTGTGCACATTTTAACATGACTTTAAACCATTTAAGCACAAGACGACTCGCGCTCTGTTTTCTGCACTGCACACACATCCAAAGCACACGCACAGAAAAAGTGATTTTATAAGATTTTAAAGCATTCAGGATTTTTTTTTTTTTTTTTTTAGTTTGCTTTACCTTATTGGAATCAAAATTAGAAATAGATAAGAATCAGAATCGATAAGCAGAATCTGAAATCAGAATCATTAAAATTCTAACGATGCCCAACCTTACCCATACCCCATTTTTTTAATCCCTCATTTCTTTGATCAAACCTTTCACTTACCCTTCTTTGCTTTTGCACTTCTTAAAAACATTCACATAATCTTACATGGACTTACTTTTCAAAATTTGTTATAAAACAATTGCTCCTGGCAACAAGAATAGCTTGTATGTTTGCTTATCACAGCATCAAACATGGCAATTTATGAAATTAATATAATGTTTTCCAAAATCACTATATAACATCAGTCATGTTTGAAATAACTTGCCTCTTTGGTTCCATGTTGTTTCTTATCACAGAGAATGAGAAAATATATTATTTAATAATCATGATCTTCAGGGAGCTGTACAGGCCAATCTGGGCACTGTTCTCTGATTTTGGAGGCAGGCACTGTCAAGAGAGGGTCACTTGATAAAACCCAGCTGGCTGGTGATTGTTTATTACCTAGTCTCACAGTACAGCTATACTTGTCAAGTCAAGTCAAGTCACCTTTAGTTATATAGCGCTTTTAACAATACAGATTGTGTCAAAGCAACTGAACAGCATTAATTAGGAAAATAGTGTGTCAATAATGCAAAAATGACAATAGTAAACACTAATTTTTCAGTTAAAGGCAGTTCATCATTGAATTCAGTGATGTCATCATCCAGCTCAGTTCAGTTTAAATAGTATCTTTGCAATCAAGTCAACGATATCGCCGGAAATGAAGTGTCCCCAACTAAGCAAGCCAAAGGCGACAGCGGCAAGGAACCAAAACTCCATCGGTGACAGTAATGACAAGCTAACGAATGCTAACGCGCTGAAGATGTGCTGCACTCGTGGTTTTAGAATAAAAGCGAACAATCAAATGAATCAGATTAGGCTGATAGATAATATCAGAAATATGGTGGGAATTAAGTTATATTTATCACTTTAAACAACAGAGAGTAATAGAGATTTTACAGAAAAACAAAGCTACACGAAGCTACAATCACAAACCAGCAGCACTGCAAACAGGAAGCAGGAATAACACTGTCCAACAGCGACACCCGCAGGTCAGGAATGCAGCAATCAATCTGTACAAAACTTGTACAGGTGACTGGTCACTCTGTGAACTCTGTTCATGTACATAACAGCCTAGCAATGTCCATGGGACTGTCAGCTGAAAAGGCTGTTAAAATGCAGAACAAAATGCAGAACAGTTATTTTTATTTTTTTTTATTAGTAAAACCATATTGGGTACTCTTCAAGATTTTGGATTTCACCATTTCTCCTGTTTTTCTTGCCTGGGACATGACACTTGGTCTCCAACCCATAAACCGTGAGATTTTAGGGCACTGTTTTCTAAGAATGAATCCTGAAACCTTGTCTTCTGATTCTTTTTTTTAGATCAACTAATCTTCTTCTAAGACAACATGAAACTATCCGATGGGAAAACAAACCTATTTTCAGATGTGTTTTGATTCCTAAACTTTGCTTGTTTTTTTTTTACTCTTCCATGTAAACATAACATTGTCACAGTGATTTGTGGACTGTGATACTTGCAGCTGCAAGAACATTATCATGTTGTTGTTGCTGTTGTAGAGATGTTGTGAACACAGCATTTTGTGATTAAAAGGGTCGTGTGATACTGTGGCATGTGATGTGACATCACGTGATATTACATGATATGATATGACATGACATGAAATGACATATTGTTAAGTCGATGTGTAATGTGAAGAAAAAAAAATGAACAGGTTTGTTTTCTGCTGTGCTTTTAAGAAACATCCCTTTCACATGAGCTGTGCTGATCTCAAAGTTCTATATCATATAGTACATTGTTAAGTTTTCTGTCTAATATAGTTTTTAACTGAACCACACTTAAGTGTGTGGCAATGTCTGTTATATTGCGACAATGCACGCCGAAATGTGCTACTCACATTGAATTACATCATTACTGTTAAGATCAGGGGCCAGCTGCATAATGTAAAAAAAATATGACCAGTCTTAAAATAAAAAACAAAAAAAGATGACTAACTTTTAAAACTAGTCTAACCCTTTTATGCAACTGGCCCCAGATTGAAATCAGATCTTTTAAAAATAAACTTCAGCCACTTGTTTCTAAAGTTGTGGTTAACTGCTAGATATTAAAGAATAATAGCATCCATTCTGCTTTATCTTTGTAACTGTAAGTGTGGCTGATTGTGTATTGATGTGTTTATCACTACAGCAAATGGTCTTTTTGGACTAAGGACATAAGTTACAGTATGTTTTCTTGATCTTTTGAGATAAGATAGCTTGATGATTAAGGAAAATTGGATTTCTCATATGAGCCCACTCAATGTACAGAGGTTGATGTTTTCACATCTTCTGTTGTATGTTGGTTGATGTTTTCACATTTTATATTTTGTTACATTGTTCTTGGCAATTTCTTTTTCGGGTATCCCCACTTTTATTTACAGTTATACATGAGTATATACATATACCTAGTAGCTATACCTCAGTATATACATATACCTATTCAGCTATGTTTTGAGAGCATTATCACTCAACCACACAGGTCAGTAAAGAATATTTATTGGACTGAACATTCTCATGTTGTTCAGTTTTGAATGTTAAGAGTTCCTCAGCAGATTTTAGTGTTAATTACTGAGTAGGAGGAGGAGGAGGAGGAGGAGGGGATACATGGTCTGAAGGGCCCTGGCAGAGACATGGTGGAAGGAAGGGACAGATTGGATAAATAGAGGGGGGTATTTTTACAAAGCCACGGTAGGGTAACTCAGGGCCGCTCTCAGGCCTTTTGTCCCTGCCCTTGTCTTCATGGCTTGCATGCTCTGGACGGCCCCCTCGGTCAGGCCTTTTGTCCCTGCCCTTGTCTTCATGGCTTGCCTGTTCTGGGCGGCCCC